ACTGAAACTGACGAAAGAAGAAGTACAAATTTAGAGATTTTTTAAAAACGAGCAGTTCTGCCCGCCATCTGAGCGAATGGATCAAAATTAGTATTTATATTTTTAAGAACCTAAGCCAAAGCCAGGAAAAGAAATTCGAGACTTTGATGTGCGCCCAGTGTAATCCTTAAAAGTAAACTAAATAAATCTTTTTTAAGTAAAAGCAAGTAGCCTAAGATTTGCCCACGAAATGTTTTTATGTAATTATGAAATAAAGATTAAGATATTATAAAGTACGTAGACTTTTAATGGGGTTTTTAAGAAGGTATTTAGAGGTATTTATTTACCTTACAAAGATTTAATATTTAGTCATTATTCCTGACCGTTATAAATGTTAATATATTCTTTTATTTAATTTTAAAACATTTTTATTATACCACTAGAAATTCAATATAAATACTTAACCTCCTGCCTGGCTTATGACCTCTTTTAAAAACCCTGAAACAATTAATATTTCAGGGATAACCCCTCCATAGTTTATATATCTCCAACTCATCGCCCAGATGCTAGCATATGTCCAATGACCGCTGCTTGACCAAGACCCACTGTCGACACGAGATCTCTGAGACATGATTTATGGTAGCCCATCTCCCAAGGCAAATATATTCGGAAAATGTAAAGTTATTTTCTACTTTTCAAAAGAAAAACTGTTCCATCATGTGCTAAATACCCAAGTTATTAAATGAAAAGAAAAACATATAACAAAAAATTTGTGTACGGGCGCAACCAAACAAATTGGACGGTCTTCGGGACGCCTTTTATTTTTCTACTTCGAATTTTGATGGATTATTGACATTTTGCGTGAAAACGCACAATTCGCATTGCATATTGAGGGGGGAATTATATAATAATAATGAAAAACTCATGAGCGCGTGCGTTGGAGATGTCGAGGGAGTGGCAGCGGAAGATGACGCAGCATGGGATCCTAGATCTGGGATCACTTGGGATCGAATCCTCGGCGTTCTTCAGTTGGCGCGCATGCGCTGAACGCACTTCAGCCAACTGGCGCGTGCTTGGAGGGAATTTTCTCCTATAGTTCTTGGGTCTTGAGTGAAAACTCAATTTTATAAAAATAGTTTTCGTCGTTGTTCGATTCCGATTGGTGGATGAAAATATTTTCAAAAAAAAAAAAAGAGAAGAATGCGCTTCCCTTGAAATTGTTTCCATGTAAATTTCGTTTAAATGCCGTTTTTCCTCATTAAAAACATTCCAATAATTGATATTTATGGCTGGAATTAATTTCGATGGTAGTCAAGGGTGGTAGTGCTGGCTGCTGGCTCAAGATGATGGCTTTAAATCCGTAGATCTTATCGCAAATTAGATTTTGCATATCCCCTTTGGATTAAAGCTAGATCTGGATCCGAACTCCGGAGATCTTTGCTCATTTGAGCGAAGTTAAGTTGGCTATTTGGCCATTGCCCATTGTCTTGGCTGCCCTCTTGGCTTGTGGCCGCCGCAAGCGAAAGATGTTTATCACAGGAAGCAGGAGTTGGACGAGTCCCCTAACCTCATTGTCCTGACCCGAGCTAACGATCCATAGTTTCTGGTTTTGTTCACCGCTTCTTATCTCAGCTTGTGGCTTTGTTGCATCTTTTTTTTTCTTCCTGCTGCTGGCCATTGTTTGCGGAATAGACAAAAAAATAGACAAAACCCAGAGATGTGTAGGAGGAGACAGGAGAGAGGAAGGTCCTGGCCACTTTGTAACCTGGGAGTTCTTCAAATAGTTCAATTGCCCGTCTGCTGACCATTTGAAAGGTGTAATTTTGGTCCTGTTAGGGTCTCCTCTTCTTTGCTTGATGCAGCTGTTTTTTGCACTCTCTTTCTCCTCCTTTTTCCAGGATATTGACTCACCTTTGACCCCTCAACATTCTGATTGATTAGGACAAAGACACGCGTCTGGCACACTTTGGCAGTGCATAATTTTGGGGTTTTATTTTGGACCCCCTTCCTCCTGACAATTATCAATATATCCTGATTTCGGATATAAATGGAATAATTTAATATTGCACTTGGAGAAACTTGTGAAAATTTATAATATATACTATATATATATAAAGTATTTCAAACTAAAATTTATAAACCATCTCCTCTTGAGTCATTTTCTTAAATTAAAATATTGAAAAATGTGTCTTATACTTTTATTAAATTGTCAAATCATTAACCAAATTTGCTGTGACTTTTCCCTCTGTGTAGTTATAAATAATAGAGTTTGGCATAAATATCCCACTGGGCTGAAGCAGAGCCATAAATACGGTATTTATGTTTAACCACCACCCCTGACTCTACGCCATTTTTGGATGGGGTTGTTGAATTTCGTATTTCGGAGTTAGGATTTGGTGTTGGTTACGGCTATGGCAAGGGATTGGCTTGGGACTGCTCCCAGTTTGTTTTGGTGGCCATTTTTAGCTTGCCTTGGACCTAAAAGTAAAAATAGAAAACAAAAATAGCATACTGTTTTTGGGAGGAAAGGGGTCTACAAGGTTTTTCACTCACTTTCCCCGGGAATAACACTCAGGAGCTAGCATGTTGTGGGTGTTTAGTTGATTAAAACGCGCCTGGGGTTCACAAATGGCCACATGAAGCAGCAGGAGAGGCAGCACCGTCAGCCGATGATTAGCAATCCACCCCCTCCTACCTCGTGCCGATCACCCCTTGTCCAACAGCCGCCTTCGCAAAGCTGTTGATAGCATCACTGGACGTAAGGGCCGGCGCCCACATCACATTCAGATCCCGAGAAATACAAAAATTACTCCGGCTCCTTTTTTCCACAACTTTACGCATTTTAATTATGAAAATTACCAGGCAGGCAGGATCCGTTCGGCCGCCCGGATCAAGGGACCTCGCCAGCATCTGTGTGTGGGTTAATTATGAGCGGCGATCCTTTCGACGATCCTCGAGCGTGACGTCATGTTAGAGCCACCTTAAGGATTTGTTGAACCCCCGGATAATTTATATCTGTAAACAGTTTTTCCCTGGAATTGGTCGAGTGAGTGAGGAAAGTGGGAGTGAAAGAGAGAGTATCCTTTCGATCCGTCCAACAGCTGACCGGAGTGCGACCTTGCGGGATTAAGGTGGGTGTAGCGAATCCTTAAATCCTTAAGTGGCCATGGCCGCCGCTAACAAGCGCTAAGGATGCGCTGGCCATCTGAGTTTTTGGTTTGAGGGTTGAGACCTGGCAATACATCTTTCTGGTAGTCGCGTGTCGTAAATCATATAGAAACATTAACTAAAGGTTGTGAGGGTGGCTTTTATAAAACTCCTACAGAAAAAGGCAATTAAATAATTATATTAGGACAAAATATAGTAATTAGAGAGGAAAAATTCTCTTAGATTTACAATAGTAGAGTACAAAATATATTATTTTAATTATTAACCTTTTAAATTTAAATGAAAGCAACTTAAAAGTAATGGAATAATAACCTCTTCTTTATAATAACCATTGAGAATCCTTTTCAAATAAATTTACATGCGGTTTAATAATACACTGCCCCACCACAGCTTAAATCTCCATTCAACTTGCATTATGAATGCCCACCAGGATAGTTAATCATCGCAGCCGTCATCTATGCCATTCAACCGCAAAATCCGAAATGCAATTCAAAAGCAAAAACCAAAACTAATTGCAGCGAATCAGTTGATGAATATGCAAAACTATACAAAATTAAAGCCGTGCCGAAGAGGAAACCTATAAGATAGTGATGACGCTGGTGGTGGTAGAGGATGGTTCTGGCTGGAGATATACATAAAAGACCCACTAGCCCATTGGGAAATGGAAACTAAGGAAACTCGCGACAGCGAAAGTAACAAAACAATTTTTACAGTTCGACAAACAGAATGCGTCCACCATGTCCACTCTACATGTAAATAGATAGACAAAAAAAAAGAGAAAAGGAGGCTCTATAGTAGGAGAAAAACTCAGACTGGGAATGGATGGAAAAAACATCTGCCCCTGATGGCACTTTAGTTAACGAAAAACAACAAAAGGTTAAAAATATATGCAAGCGGACTCCGGACTCGCTGCCCGTTCCCAATGCCATTGCCGATCCCATTCCACTCCATCGATAATGTCCAGCATCCGTTATGGAGAGACGGCAAAAAGGAAGTTGACAACAGCGTGTGCCTCGTCCTGGATGGGTGTGTGTATGTGTGTGTTAGTGTGCGAGTGTGGGGGTTGCACAGATACGCGTGTCCTGCGAGTTACTTTTTTTCCTCTATCCCATATTTGCACTAGAACGCTGGACGCGTTTGGTCAGTTTGCCACAAACAATACGAAAATTGGTGAGGGCCCGTCGATTGATTTCGAGGCTTCATACTCTTCCAGCAGCCTTTACTTTTTGTTTGTCCAGGGAACACATCCACCAGATGCCGTCAAGTCAACACTGAAATAATAGAAGCCTGGGAGAGAGGCTGTAAAGACGCTTATCCTGGGAAAGGGTGAACAAAAAAATCACAAGCCAAGCCTGTTACAGGACAAATTGAATTACAAGATGAAGATCTTTCTGTGGTTTTCGTTTATAATGATTTTTTATTTTACAAAACTTAAAATATCTTTATAAAATACTGCCACAATATTAGAGTTAATATTAGTATTGTAGAATCAACTTGAAACATTTTATTTGTAAATAATTAGACAACCTCTCTCTCAAACATAATTTCAACGAGAACTTAAGTCTAGTTACACTTTTACATCTTCATCTTCAGCAATGATTATATTATTATTGAAATCATTTACCACATTAATTCTCCCTATTTTTTATATACAAAAGTATGGGCAACCCTCCCTAATCGAACCATCAAAACCAATCAAAACGTAGCCAAGAAGTCAAAGCAACGCCTATTACACAATTTCAAATATAGGAAATTTCACGCAAAAAATGCGATTACCACCAATAAAAATATCACACAAAAAACCCACTCAAAAAAAAGCGAAGCAAAAAATTGAAACCCAAACCACCCGGGTAATGGCAATGGCAATATATGGGGGTAGGTGTGCGGGAACCAAACCACCACTGCCTCATAAAGAGGGTTGCAAAAAAAAAAAAGAAGAAAAAAAAAATAACGAAACCGAAAACAAAAATGGAAGAAAACCCTGGAAAACATTTGGCAAATGGTTTCAATGGATCGATATTCCTTTAGAGGATGAGTATAGGTCGTCGGACATGTGAATAAAAAACAGGTAAGGTAAGGTGAGGTTTTCCTTTTCTGTAAGAGATACTTTTTTAGCAACATGTTTTTTGTTTATTTCTTTGAAAAGATTTCGGGCTTCTCCTTTGCTATTTGGATTTGGCTAAATCGACTTATTGGTCTTTTGTGATCCGTTCGAAGGACGAATGTCAGCTGTGGGTTGAAGTGTAATGTGAGCAATTAGAGGGGACCCGAAGATGATGTATCAGTAACAGGGAATGGAGGGAGGTGTATCGGCGGTCTACAGGTGCTAAATGATCCTTTAGACACAAGTTGTCAGCGCTTAGATATGTCCTTGATGGGCGGATATGGGTCTCGGATTTCCGATAGTTGTCCACCAAGGAATCAAGTTCAAGCCAGCCCAAATTCCAATCGCAATCGCAAGGCCTCCCTTCGCCCAGTAGTTGGCCTTGGCAGTCCTTCGCTGGGAGAAAACATCTGGCACATTGCATAGTTTTCACTTCGATTTTCAGCTGTTTGCTCCCAGATTTTCCCCTTTCCAGGCAGGTGCCCATCCATGCATCCATCAATAATTTCCGATTTGTGTTTGTGTGCCCGAAGTGAAGTGCATAAATTTCGGTTTCAATTTGCCAAGGGTTAACTTTTCAGCATTTTTCAGCTGGTCATTGTGGTTGACAACAAGGAACTCGTTTCGACTCACCACTGGTAACGGGGGGAAACGGATTATTTTCGGGGATTTTCTATGGAAAAATTGTAATAATTTTTGCTCTTGCCAAAAATGAGGGAGTAACGTCGGAATAAAGGTGTTAAATTCTCAGTTTCAATTTGGAACCCTTTTTCATTGTTTGGTTTTTGTTGGTGGATATTTTGCTGATATTTTTTGGGTACCAAATGTTGCTAATTGGAACAGCTGCTTTTCATTTGAGAATTTAGATATAAAAGTTGCAGAATTATATGGAAATAGGCGAAAAATATAGAAGTATGTGTTTGGTTTTGGAAACTATAAGAAACAAATTATTAGACTTTAATCAGTTTATGATTTAAATAAATTGTTTTTTAATATATAAATTGCCTTAAAATGTATACATTTTCTTTCAGAAGTTAAGTTTTAAACTTAAAATAAAGTTTAGAAAAATGTACCTATATAATTTAGAAATTTAGGACCGTTCTCTGGTTATAAAAATATATATATATTCATATATATGTACATACATTAAGCTTCAACGAACATGACCTTGTAAAAGCCTTTTCCATTCCCAAAACTCTTGAAAAGTTTTTCGCTTCGCGACCTTCTGGAAAATACTTTCCTCTTTCTCCGTTTCAATGAACTTTTCCCTCTGACAAGCGTCGCCATTTTGAAGTTTTCCCTTGAGCTGAGAAACTCACCCCTTTGCTGGCTACCCGACTCCATTTTATCCCGCTTCCTCAGCCACACTTCATAACAGTTTGTTAGTTTTATTTTTAAAAGTGCCACACGCACTCAAGCCCCTACTTTTCAGCCCCAAATTCAACTCCTCCATCGCCTTTCACTCCAATTTACGGCACGTAATAAAAACAAAATGAAATTTAGGCGAGTGCCCCCCTTCGTTTGGAAAGTGCTTGAGAATTGTTTTCATTTATTTTGGGATCCCCCCTTTCGAGTCCCCCCATTTGCCGAGGGCCAATCATCGCCAAGGGGATTAGAGAGTCTTTGGGCGTGTGGCACCGCAAGATCTTTGTCATTGAACTTGAAAAGAAGCCGAAGAGTTGTGAAACGTGCCGGCACAACTGCAGACAACTCATCTACCCTTTCAGCACATTTTTGGGCAATCCGACATGGGCGGCCCTTAAAATAGAACTAATCCGAACCCTTTCCCCTCCATCTTTTTGTACCTCGCCTGTTGCATCATCACCGACATCATCATCCTCCTCATCGGCGAGGCGCTACCCTCGTCAAACATTGAGTAAGAGCTCTCAAATTAACCACCAATAAAAAGGCAACACTTCATAAAAAAGAAAGACAGAGAGAAGCCAACTTCCGTTTTTTCATTGTTTCCCCTCGTGTGATCCTGCTGCTCCCTTTCCCGGATCCTTCCGTCCCCGTCCCTTGCCTGTTGCGCCCCGAATATTTTTTAGGTGATGTTGTAATCGAGGAGTTGTTAGGTAAACACCCTTAATTTGATTTTTAGCGCCACTTAACACGAGGGCACTTATTTTTTATACACACGATATGCATATGGGGTGAGTTCTTTTTTATATATGGCCACTGGGGAGGGTAAAAAAGTTGACATGGTAATCGTAATTGTTGTATCGGATGCTCGAAATGAAGCCATTATTATGTAATTGACCTTTATCGGAAATTAGAAGGGAGCTGCGTTTCACATGGGCGGGGTTTTTAGAGACCACGATCGGTTTTTTAGGGGTTATGTTGTTTTTTATTGGACATTATTAGGGGTTTTTTGTTGAAGTGGGGTGTTTTTTGTATGTATTAAATGCATACATTGTTTTCTTTCTTTGTTGTCTTTATATAATTATTAATTATTAAATTTATTCTAAATGTAGAGCCATTATCTCTACATTTCAAATAAATTTAATAATATATTCTAGAAGAACGTGATATTTACTAAAATATTTATTATTAAATCAAATTGGTTTACCAAGGAATCAATATTTTCCATTTAGCATAAATAATATATAATAATATTAAATAGAGATTTTTAAGTATTTTTTAAATAACAATTCCCATTAAATTCAGCTTCCACTTTTTTAAGGGATCTGCATAATGCAATTCTTAGATCTCATTGCATTTCCCAGCCATCATCTGCCGCTGGCTGGTCCTTTGTCTGCATAATGAATTCATCACATCAAATGCTGATCCCCGCTCCGATCCGATCGCAGGGCCCGTTGATTGCCGAACAGAGAACAGCCCCGACAATTGAAATCCAACGAGCGGTACACGAGGACGCAAATGCACAAAATTCAAATGTCATTCAAATAACGGCTGTCAGGACAATGGCCACGCACGCGGTCAGGATTTGGAGTGGAAGTGGGAGTAGGGGCAGGAGTAGGAGCAGCCATCTGAGCAGGAGGAGTGGATTTTGGCTGAAAGGTGGTTGAGGTGCCCGGGGAAGATGCCGAGGAGTGGGAGATGTAACAGCAACGCCTGCATCTCATTTCGAAGCATCAGCAAATCTGTCTCTCCTACTCCTAGCCATTTTCCCTTTGAATACAGTAAGAAAAATTTAATGTAAATGTAAGGAAATTCATTTTTAAAAGGATGAATAGTTTTTATATTAATTTAATTTGTTAATAGCAATTTCACAGCTTAAATTAATGTAGTTTCCTCACAAAATAATTGTATTTAAGAGTTAAATTGTGATTTACAAATTATATTATTGTGAGTTTATGATGTATTTTTGAAATAACAACTAAATGGTATTTTTTTAGAGTATACATTAATATCCTGGCACAGGATACATGTACGTATATTGTTTATTATTTTCGAGTTCCATCCGGTTTGGCCTCAGCTGACTGACAGCCAGCGGCCGACGGCTACAAAAACAATCCGCATTCAGCCGCCAGTCAAAGGCGACGATGATGAGGACAAAGTCGGACTGGCGACCCAACCGACCGGGTGATAGGTATCGTATCCTTGGCAGGGTATCGACTTCCTCTGCGCCGCCAAACCACAACAGATGAGCATGGGTCCGTTCGTGTTTCTGCATCGATAACCGTGACATTGTCACATTGTGTCGTCTATGATCCCGATCTGAGTTCTCAATCTGAATTCCAATTTCCCAGTTCATTCATCAGAGGCCAAGTCTGAGGCCAATCACACGCTGACGGGATTAGCAGAAGTGAAGTTTTTTATCCTGCCTAATTGGACCGATCCACTCCTTTGTCCTCCTAAGCGGACGGCCATGAAATCAGAGTCCGATCATCCGATGGGCCAGTTCCGATAAGTCCCAAGGTCCTTTCTTAGCTGGCTTTCTTTTTTGCAAAGGCGTGTGCAATTGCCATTAAATTTGAGCTGACATTCAGCCAAGGCCCTCAGTTAAGCTGTTCTTCTTGGATCTAGGGACTTATCAAGGACACTCTGAATAGATCCCTGGTTATCTGAAGAACTAAAAATTATACATATTTTTAAGGATATAATTTTCATGAAGCAGCTGTTAAAGGAGTGCGCAGCCCCCCAGCTATAGATCCTTTGAAGCACAACAAATTTGGCTCAATGGAAAATTAACTAAAAACTACCAGAAATTAGAGCATAACTCCATAACTCTCCAGACCGAGACACCGAGGGCAGATGTCAAGCTGCTAAAGATCACACTAAGCACAAACATCGCATCGCCCAAGGAGCTCAACTCATTTGAATGAGACGGGGGGTTCAGTTCCAGGGAAAACAAACACCGAATTCCGGACTCTCAAATCCCAAAGGAGCAGACATAAGAAAATCATTTGTGAGAAGCGGGAAGGACTAACTCTGCGGCAGCTATATCCACCCTAAGTCGGAATCCCGGGGTCCACAAGGGTCTCGGGTCTCGGCACTCTCATCGCAATGTAAATGTCGCGTGTTGGCGCGCAAGAGATTTGTGTTTTCCGGGGTCGCCGCTGCAGTCTTAGGGAAATCGAAGTCATAAGAAGGGTCGGGGTCGGGGTCAGGACTCGAGGCATTATAATAGGCTCATTTCCTTGCCTGCTTCTTCGGCTCCCGATTTCCCGAGCGTAATAGCGTAAACATTTAATGGGAGCGTGCGCTGCGCACGCGCAACATTGTCTCACCCTGCGATCCGAGTCCTTGCTCCTTGCTCCCTGCTCCTTAGTCTCCTGCCGCTTCTCACCCTTACTAACCTTCGACCCTAACCTCAGGCCCGATCCCAATCTTTGGCTCTGCGCCTGCGCATTGTTCGACTTCCTAGAGGATTGGCGCGTCTTATGATTGATTCAGCGTTTTGTAGCCATTGTTGTTCCCACGATTTCCCCATGTCCACGATCACAATCTTGTGGCATTCTCTATGGAGCATGATTAATCTTTGATTTTGCGTTTTCGTGGGTGTAACGGTTGGTTTCAGGGATGAGGAGCTTGGAGAAAGGCCGAGGAAAAGCGAAACTGAATGGAAAATATGATTCAATAAGGCATTGAAAATGGCATAAAAATGAGAAGATTAAGTATTTGTACACACGTTTTTCTTCATAATTTGAATTGAAAACAAATACTATTAGAAAATGTTGTTGGTTTCTAAAATATATACTATATATATATTTAGGGAATTATTATTTTCACAGACGGGTTTAAGGACGATATGCTTATTTTAATGGGCAACAAAGATTCTTGTGAGTCAGAAGTTTAAAAACAAACCTTTAGTTTTTTGACAAATCATTCCTAGAAGAGCTATAATGTAACGTCTCCGGATTTCAATGAATTCATATAGCATAGTCGTCAAATCGTATTTTATAAGATCCTCTGTGAAACTGTATACCTAAAATCCAGACAAGATAGCTCAAAAAGTAAGAAGCAGGCATACATTTTACGCTCGGGAACGTAACTTCTATATTTCACCAACTATAAAAACGAAGATCTGTATAAAAATTAACGAAACCCCAAAGAAATAAACCCCATCTGGAATCACAGACCAGCAACTCTTTCTTGTTGGTTTCTCCCACCGACTGCACACGACACCGCCAGAAACGGTGGCTACAAGATGCATGTGGCACATTTAACACCTCCAATTCATAATGAATGAGTTAGGAGCATCAACAAACCAGGCACGAACATATCGACGGAGGACTACTGCACATGGGACGAGTCCCATGCCATCGGAGGTGCTTGTTCGCCACGCCAGGGAAACGCCCGCATTGGCCAGGACATGTGTTAATCAAGCAGCAGCCTCAGCAGGGCATAACTCGGCTGCAGATGGACTAATTTTTGTGTAAGGCCGGGGGTAAACCCTACACAGCTGCCCCGAAGGACTAAAAATAGTCGAGGGCAAGGTGCAGGCAGCGCACATTACAATTTATGTGACAGGATTCTCATGTTTGCGCTTAATTTTCGTTTAATTCTTATGGGCGCCAAAAGATTTCCGACGGCTGTCGCTTGGATACTATGAGGATAGTAGGGAATGCCAGGCCAATTTTGGCCATTTATCCTGGCTGCAGCCAGGATCAAACAATGATCGAAACAAAGAAGGTAACATGAGCTAAAAAACCAATAGAAGAAACAACTGTGACAAGCAATCGGAAGAGACAAACAAATATAGAAAATCCAGTGAAAAGCGCAATTGTTGCAGCATTACAATTGAATGCGATCCGGAAGTGTCCTGCGTGGACAAGGATCGATGGCCATCGCCCAAGTGGGTATTCTGAGTCACTTACTGAAACTGAAAAAGAGAGAATATATTCTCCAGAGAGAGTAAACCTAACAACCCCTATAGATCAACTCAACTCAGTCAAGAATTGAGTGCAGATCACTCGATTTCGGAAGAGACAACCCCTAACGAACGACTCAACTTACTCTGGGTTGAGTTGGGATCGGTTTCTCAGCAACAAAAATCTCAGCTAGATTCAAATTGAGTGTGTTTTTTTTTGCGGAGTTTTCCTCAATTTTCTAAATAGGTTCAAACTTGACCTCTAAGACGACCTCAAAGATGGGAGATGGGATATGAGAGAAGCGCGCGCGTTGCTCCTTTTGTGCATTCAGTTGGCATCCTTCGGGTCATCTTCTGACCTTTTTCCTTGGCACCCGCTTGCCCTTTGTCTTTGAACCCGGGCATCGTTGACAAAAGGCCTGGGGCATTGCAATAAATGTGATAAAGATTGTTTTTTGTCTTTCGGCGCAATTGCTTGGACATCGTGCCATAAATTGCATGGACCGATGGTAGACCGGTGCTCGCTGCCCGTTGATCATCGACAAGCAGGAGTTCGGGTTGGAACAAAATTCGTTGAATGATGCCTTAATTGTGGGACAAGCAGCTGAAACTGACCGGTTCCATTGAACTGCCCAGCAATTGTGGGTGTTTAACGCATGTTTTGCTCAGATCAAGGGACCGATTTTTATTGTAAGCGGCTCTCATCTAGATAGTTTAGATAAACCTATGTAATGCTCAAATTTATTGCGTTCTGAAACAAAAAGTAATGTTTTTTATTTATAATTGCACTTGGAAGATCCGATAGAATATCAAGCGAGGAAGGAACTAACTTCGGTTCGCCAATATTTGACAATTTTAACGATTTAACTCCTTATTCATTTTTTAAAACAGAGGGAATTTTTTCATCCATTTTTTATAGTTAAAAAAAACAAAACATATCTAAGTCAAAAAGGCATCACATTCAATTCTGAAAGCTTTCCTTTTAGATTTCAATAGGTTTATTTTACCCTTGCAGGGTATTATAATTTCAGTCAGAAGTTAGCAACGCAGTGAAGAAGACCTTTCCCACCCTATAAAGTATATATATTCTTGATCATCTAGCCGAAAGCCACAGCAGCTATGGCTGGTATCCATCCTGTAGCTTAATTTAGAATTAAGCATGCATCGTACAAATAAATAAATATTCTTGATCAAGTTTCGAACCATTTAGGAGCAAGCGAAAGTAACGGCTGTTTTCCCAAAAAACAACTCTGGGCAGGCAGCTCAGAGAGGGATAGCAAGTGTCCAGAAAAGAAGAGAGCAGACAACACAGAGTTGTATTTTGGGAAAGAAGCCAGGTTTGAGTCTCCGCTGACTTTCGCTTGCTCCCATAAGGTTCGAAACTTGGACTTTTTATAACAGTTTATACCAGTTTTCAGTTGCTTGCTGCTGGTTTCTGTTTGCCTGTCACCCCAATTTGAGAAGCAGGCAAATTGCATGAAAATTTTCGAAAATTTGGATGGCTGCTGTAGGGAGGTTGTTGTAATTTGTTGTTGCAATCAAATGGCTCTGCCGGCGGTAAAGGGTATAAATGCATAAAATAAAATATAAATGTTTATACCAGTTATATAGTTTATACCAATTATCAATTAAATAAATAAATAAATATTTAAATTAATTATTTTTTATTTTCTTAAATATTATAATTTTCAGTTAACGGGGAAAATAAATAATAATTTAAGTCGCAACTAAAACTAGGGGAATTAAAAAAAATTTCAGCAGCCCATTCAAATTTTCGACAATTTCTATGCAATTTGGCCGTTTCTCAAATTGGGGTACCAGGCGAACAGAAACAAGCAGCAAGCAACTGAAAACTGTTATAAAAAGTCCAAGTTTCGAACCATTTAGGAGCAAGCGAAAGTAACGGCTGTTTTCCCAAAATGCAACTCAGGGCAGGCAGCTCAGAGAGGGATAGCAAGTGTACAGAAAAGAAGAGAGCAGACAACACAGAGTTGTATTTTGGGAAAGAAGCCAGGTTTGAGTCTCCGCTGACTTTCGCTTGCTCCCATAAGGTTCGAAACTTTGGCTTTTTATAACAGTTTATACCAGTTTTCAGTTGCTTGCTGCTGGTTTCTGTTCGCCTGTTACCCCAATTTGAGAAGCAGGCAAATTGCATGGAAATTTTCGAAAATTTGGATTGCTGCTGTAGGGAGGTTGTTGTAATGGGGTTGTTGTTGCAATCAAATGGCTGTGCCGGCGGTAAAGGGTATAAATGCATAAAATAAAATATAAATGTTTATACCAGTTATATAGTTTATACCAATTATCAATTAAATAAATAAATAAATATTTAAATTAATTATTTTTTATTTTCTTAAATATTATAATTTTCAGTTAACGGGGAAAATAAATAATAATTTAAGTCGCAACTAAAACTAGGGGAATTAAAAAAAATTTCAGCAGCCCATTCAAATTTTCGACAATTTCTATGCAATTTGGCCGTTTCTCAAATTGGGGTACCAGGCGAACAGAAACAAGCAGCAAGCAACTGAAAACTGTTATAAAAAGTCCAAGTTTCGAACCATTTAGGAGCAAGCGAAAGTAACGGCTGTTTTCCCAAAATGCAACTCAGGGCAGGCAGCTCAGAGAGGGATAGCAAGTGTACAGAAAAGAAGAGAGCAGACAACACAGAGTTGTATTTTGGGAAAGAAGCCAGGTTTGAGTCTCCGCTGACTTTCGCTTGCTCCCATAAGGTTCGAAACTTTGGCTTTTTATAACAGTTTATACCAGTTTTCAGTTGCTTGCTGCTGGTTTCTGTTCGCCTGTTACCCCAATTTGAGAAGCAGGCAAATTGCATGGAAATTTTCGAAAATTTGGATTGCTGCTGTAGGGAGGTTGTTGTAATGGGGTTGTTGTTGCAATCAAATGGCTGTGCCGGCGGTAAAGGGTATAAATGCATAAAATAAAATATAAATGTTTATACCAGTTATATAGTTTATACCAATTATCAATTAAATAAATAAATAAATATTTCAATTAATTATTTTTTATTTTCTTAAATATTATAATTTTCAGTTAACGGGGGAAATAAATAATAATTTAAGTCGCAACTAAAACTAGGGGAATTAAAAATAATTTCAGCAGCCCATTCAAATTTTCGACAATTTCTATGCAATTTGGCCGTTTCTCAAATTGGGGTACCAGGCGAACAGAAACAAGCAGCAAGCAACTGAAAACTGTTATAAAAAGTCCAAGTTTCGAACCATTTAGGAGCAAGCGAAAGTAACGGCTGTTTTCCCAAAATGCAACTCAGGGCAGGCAGCTCAGAGAGGGATAGCAAGTGTACAGAAAAGAAGAGAGCAGACAACACAGAGTTGTATTTTGGGAAAGAAGCCAGGTTTGAGTCTCCGCTGACTTTCGCTTGCTCCCATAAGGTTCGAAACTTTGGCTTTTTATAACAGTTTATACCAGTTTTCAGTTGCTTGCTGCTGGTTTCTGTTCGCCTGTTACCCCAATTTGAGAAGCAGGCAAATTGCATGGAAATTTTCGAAAATTTGGATTGCTGCTGTAGGGAGGTTGTTGTAATGGGGTTGTTGTTGCAATCAAATGGCTGTGCCGGCGGTAAAGGGTATAAATGCATAAAATAAAATATAAATGTTTATACCAGTTATATAGTTTATACCAATTATCAATTAAATAAATAAATAAATATTTCAATTAATTATTTTTTATTTTCTTAAATATTATAATTTTCAGTTAACGGGGGAAATAAATAATAATTTAAGTCGCAACTAAAACTAGGGGAATTAAAAATAATTTCAGCAGCCCATTCAAATTTTCGACAATTTCTATGCAATTTGGCCGTTTCTCAAATTGGGGTACCAGGCGAACAGAAACAAGCAGCAAGCAACTGAAAACTGTTATAAAAAGTCCAAGTTTCGAACCATTTAGGAGCAAGCGAAAGTAACGGCTGTTTTCCCAAAATGCAATTCAGGGCAGGCAGCTCAGAGAGGGATAGCAAGTGTACAGAAAAGAAGAGAGCAGACAACACAGAGTTGTATTTTGGGAAAGAAGCCAGGTTTGAGTCTCCGCTGACTTTCGCTTGCTCCCATAAGGTTCGAAACTTGGACTTTTTATAACAGTTTATACCAGTTTTCAGTTGCTTGCTGCTGGTTTCTGTTCGCCTGTTACCCCAATTTGAGAAGCAGGCAAATTGCATGGAAATTTTCGAAAATTTGGATTGCTGCTGTAGGGAGGTTGTTGTAATGGGGTTGTTGTTGCAATCAAATGGCTGTGCCGGCGGTAAAGGGTATAAATGCATAAAATAAAATATAAATGTTTATACCAGTTATATAGTTTATACCAATTATCAATTAAATAAATAAATAAATATTTAAATTAATTATTTTTTATTTTCTTAAATATTATAATTTTCAGTTAACGGGGAAAATAAATAATAATTTAAGTCGCAACTAAAACTAGGGGAATTAAAAATAATTTCAGCAGCCCATTCAAATTTTCGACAATTTCTATGCAATTTGGCCGTTTCTCAAATTGGGGTACCAGGCGAACAGAAACAAGCAGCAAGCAACTGAAAACTGTTATAAAAAGTCCAAGTTTCGAACCATTTAGGAGCAAGCGAAAGTAACGGCTGTTTTCCCAAAATGCAGTTCTGGGCAGGCAGCTCAGAGAGAGATAGCAAGTGTCCAGAAAAGAAGAGAGCAGACAACACAGAGTTGTATTTGGGAATAGAGGTTGGTGATTTAATGGTTACCTATACAAGATTTTTTATTATGGAAATGGATCAGATAACGATCTCTGATATTGGTCTGCTATTTGCAGAACTCGCTGAAAGCTGAAGAATATAAGTTCTAATTATCCGAGAAATAAGAGGTATTGTATTGCTATAGTAATTACGTCTATTTACAAGCCTTTATATATAAAGAAATCTACAAATAATTTATAAAATGCCATCAAGTATGCAAACCGAGTCTTTATTTCCTTAAACGTTTTCAAAATCCTTAAGATAATATTTAAAAATAAATAAATTATACTAAATTTAGTCTTAAATCAAATAGTAAACATTATTTATTAATCAGTTTTTGTACCTTAACTGGCTGAGAGCTGTTTCCGAAGACGGGCTTGGGCCTCTACGGGCCAGTTTTTTAGTTCTTCCCGACCACATGGCAAACAGAAGGTGGCCGTGTAATAAAAACTGCAGCCGGGATCCTTGCAAACAGTCTTGGAGCATCTGGAGCACTTGGCCCCCAGAGCAATGTAGAATTCCGGTTTGGCCTGCCACCGCGGTGGTGGAGCCTGAAAGGGATCCCGCATCACGTAATTATCCTCGGGATACTTAATACCCAACGCAAAGGGCGGCTCCCTTCCGAAATAGTGTACAAGCTCGTGCATATCGCAGCCGGAGCATTGGAAGTCGATGCGAGCTATGCGCTCATCCTCCTCCTCGGGATTGGAGGCTTTACTCTCCTTGGCAGCAGGCAGGTCCAAGCGCTCTATCTCGGCCGCCTCATTGTCCAGGACGAAATCGTCGTCGGCCTCCATGTCAGCCAAGGTTCACTGCAAGACCAAGAGAAAGAAAGGAAGCTGGGCATATTTTCGACGGGACTAGACTTTACTACACTAATAACAATATATGTATGCAATAGTAATATGATAGCATTATTATGTTAAAATTAGGTCGCGGGTCATTCAACGAACGCCTGTCGATGCTTCCTGGTCAGATCCTCGGGCCACCATTCCGGGCGACCCGTAAAGCACCGCTCGCCGTCGACAGTCAGTGGCGGCCCATTGAGAGCCTTCTCGATCCGCAACAGCGCCACACCATAGTTGCCGGCTGATCCAAAAACTTGTCCCACCTTTGCTCCCGCTACGGAGGTGACATCATGGCTGGAGCTCGCATCAAGCTGGGCTGTCAGGCGGATGGGCATGTAACGCTTGCGAACGACACCCGAATGGTGGATGCGAGCCGTCAGCTCCTGGCCCACATAGCAGCCCTTCTGAAAGCTCACGCCATTTAGGTAATCCACATTGGCCTCCAATGGAAAGCATTTGCCGGGCGGCAGTTCCCGGCTGCCCTCGCCAACTCCCAGTGTATAGCGCAGCAGCTGGTAGTTGCTTTCTGCTGTGGGGGTGGTAGCTGTGCCGGAGGCGGTGAAACACTTGGCCAGCTGGGTCCTGCTCATGTCGGCGGGCGCCAGGATGCGTGTACCCAGAGCGTGTAGCCTGGGATCTGGCACCACAAATATTTCGGCATTCGAACTAGTTGGGGTGGACGGCGCGGTCTTGGGGTTTAATATCACCCAAGTTGTATACTCGTCGTCCACACTGTCGACCTCGATCCGCCGGCGGACGCGGTATAGACGCAGGTGTCGCCGCAAGTCCGAAGCGGCTTCGCGATCGCACTCCACCAGCAGAGTGTCCGGACTATTCGTTCGGTAGATGATCGTATCAAAAAGCACGCGACCACCTTTGTTCAGGAAGTGGGCGTAGATCGAGGCGGGTCCGTCGTCCGACCCAATCTTGGACACATCGTTAGTCACCAAACCCTGCAGGAAGGGCACGACCTCGGAGCCGTGGACGCGTATCAGCTCGCGGTTGTCCAGCGACTCCAAAACGAAGTTCGCCTGATTCCCGGTAAACAGGCGGGCAGAGGGAAGCCGCCCCTGGTGCAGATTACGTATTGGCAGCCGCGCCAAACGCAGGAACTTGACACTGGTGCTCAGGATCATGCTGCAAGAGGGAGACATCGGTTCCCTGCGGTCGTTTGGCAAATGGTAAAAATAAAGAGCACTCACCCTGTACGCAAAATTAAGGGGTTTAAGCAATTTTATTTGGCTGACGAAACTTGGAATTTGTGAACGAGAATAATAATAACAAGCTAGGAATGATACGGTCTCACAATTTAATTTGACAAGTTGACACTCCCGCAGATAACAGCTTAGAGATGGACATGTTGTTTTACGAGGCACGAACCAACATGAGAAATGTGCTCGTTATTGTTACAAGACGGATTTTTATTGTATATATTTGATAAACTATAATTAATATATGAGTTAAATGTATATTATTATTGTTTAATACATATTCTAAAATATATTTACAATATAAAAGTTCTGCTTGCACCATTGTCACGACCATCTCTAATCAGCTGTTTAACGATAAGTGAGACCAAATCAACTCTATCCCAGTGCCTTTTTTAGTACATTTCGGAAAACCAATTGGTATTTCGTGGCGCTTTGGGCGCAGCTCTATTGCTGAAGAAAACATACAATTTAGGTTTTTAAATCAAAACAAAATGAGTCAATATAGCCACGTTAAGTATACGCAATCGCCAACGCCGTCGGTGGTGTCCGGCTACTCGAGCGCCTCGCGACTCCACTCGCCGCTGCCGCCGCCGGCGAACCATCGGAGGGACTGCCTCTCGGCGACCACAAAGAGCTACAAATATCTGCGACGTCTGCTCAAATTCAATCAGATGGACTTCGAGTTTGCCCTGTGGCAGATGCTCTACCTGTTTATAGCGCCCCAAAAGGTGTACCGGAACTTTAATTACCGGAAACAAACCAAGTCACAGTTCGCCCGCGATGATCCAGCTTTTCTAGTGCTCCTAGTGGTCTGCCTATGTGGTAAGTTGGCACTTTGGATGCTGAGATGAATCTGTGTGTTGGTAACATTCCTAGATACAAGGCATCCTAATAGAGGAATCGGAAGATTTGAATATGTTATTCATTTCATAAGTTTCCAATAAGATTACGTGCCCTTATTACTCATATTTGGAGAAATCGCAAGTAATTATGAACTGTCTAGCTACTTCTGGCTTCAATTACACGGATGCATTTCGTACCTTATCTAGATACAAGTTATCTATGCAAAAAAGGGTCTGAATTGTCTAATATCTCTTGCTTAATTTCCCTCTCTCAACAGTCACTTCTTTGGGCTTTGCGTATGTCCTGGGCCTCTCCTTCTGGCAGAGCATCTCCTTCATCTTCTACGTGGTGTTCGTGGACTGCATCTTTGTGGGCATCATCATAGCCTCGTTCTTCTGGGCGGTAACGAATCGGTATCTGCGGACAAATAGTCTGGAGCCGGACATCGAGTGGGGCTACGCCTTCGATGTGCACTTGAATGCCTTCTTTCCGCCACTGATGCTGCTGCACTTCATCCAGCTGTTCTTCTACAATTGGCTGATAAGCCAAACGTGGTTCATCTCACGCTTCCTGGGCAACACCTTCTGGCTGCTGGCCATGGGCTACTATGTGTACATCACCTTCTTGGGCTACAATTGTACGTTGGGATTGGTCATGTGTGTGTAATGTACGCGATAATTATTTCCTTTGCTCTTGCAGGCATTCCCCATCTGAAGAACACTCGCATTATACTCATCGCCCTGCCCATCATCTTCCTTTTGTATCTGGTCGTCACCATAATCGGCTGGAATGCCACGATATCCTTTGTCAACTTTTACAAGTATCGCGTTTATTAATCGTGTGATGTGTGCATTGTAAATTATTCTGCGTTTAGCTGCTAAGCACTACACTACAATTATGACTAATAAACTAATTAATTTAACATTATCCCAAGACGAAGGCTTGCGTGAATATCATTTAAAATGTCCTTAAACGCTTTGCTTTCAAATTGTACTCCTGAAGAAACTTAAAGGATTGATAAATTTGAATAATATATAGTTAAACAAACAAAGATTTGTGTAAGAATCCCAATTTGTAGTTAGTTCATCTTTGGAGCATATCATTACAGTGATTTACACGATTGTCTTTCAACAGTTTTCCGGGTTTATTAATCTACAAAATGGACAACAAGGGTTTATTACGCCAGATGCTTGGGCTTCAGGAAAGTGCGCTTCCTCTTGTTTCGTTTGCGCTGCAGCTCCAGGGTGTGCAGTTCCGTGTGCACCTCGGCGAAGATCTCCGTCTGCTCCTCCTCGGCAATCGTGGAGCGGTAGTGCTTCATCATATCGTACTTTTCCCACGGCTTCTGCACTCTGGCCGACGACAGGCGATGCTTGTCCTTCAGATACTGATCGATGTTGGCCACGCCTCGAAGATTCTGTCGCTCCCAACGCTCCAGCCAGGGACGGGGACGCAGCACCACCTTGATGTCATTCACTGGCACCGGAGCGCCTTCCTCTAGCGGCTCAGCCTCCATGTTTTCGTCAAAGGTGCTGTACTCGGGCAGGGCGTCGCGCAGGTAGAAAAGACTGTCGTCCAGGCGCTTCTCCAGACGCAACACCTCCACCTTTTGGATGGTGGGGTCATACAGCTCGTAGACCACCTCCATGCCCTGGTGGTCTATTACGTTGCGCAGGACAAAGCGAGCGCGGAGACCGCACCGATCTCGATTGATGCAGATGCCCACAAAGCGACTGGTCTTGCCAGCGGCATGCGGATCGGAGCTGGTCACAGCCAAAACGGATCCCACGTAGAACTCTGGCAAATCTATCTGCTTGCGCCGCTCCAACATGTCCAGGCGCTCCAGCTTTTCGCGGATGGAGTTCCGCCACTCCACCTTGGGATCCGGCAGAAACTCGGGATAGACAAACCGATAGTTGGCCGGAATGATGGGCTTCCGCGGCGTGGTGGGCGGTACTGCGGGTGTCTGAGTGGGCGCGGCAGGTGGGACCTCTACATTCTTTGGTTCATCTTGGGCCGGGACAGCATGTTCGGCAGGCTTCGTGGAGAATGTGACTGAAAACAGATAATTGCTGACTAAATGCCGGAGGGAAAAAGTGGAATCCTTACCAATCCGCTTGTAGGCGCACTGCTGCGCCAATCTATTCACCACAACTCTAGCTGTTAAGTTCATTTTATATTTTTTTAAAAGAACAAAATAAATGTTTAGATAATCAAGCCGGAGAGTAAGAGTGCCCGCCGGCTTCTACGCCCAAAACCCTGAAACGCCTTGAACAGATGCAGTATTTCCCTCGCCTTGTGTGGCTGGTCCCACTCGTATTTTTCAAATTTTGGTAAAAAAAATACCAAATTACGTTTTATTTAAAATTTAATTTGTCCAAGAAGTTACCACATTACGAATTCCATAAATAGCGATTTAAGGAATGAGGATATTTCAAGGATTCAATGCCCAAAAAGGCATTTCGATTCATCATTAAAATCCTATATAAATATTACCTTAAACAATTGATGCTTAAATTAGTGTTTTAATTTTATATTTTCTTAGATGTTTTGATGATTTCTTTTTGGGAATTATTGAACTACGAGTGACTATGGATTTAGTGGCTATGAAAACGGAAATTCCTAAGCATTCGAGCAGTTGTTGGCCTCGTGCGCCCGGATCATGCACTCCTTGATCTGCATTTTCTTTTGAAACAAAATCATGTACTGCTTTGCCTCCTCCCTTTCGCGGGCGATCCTAAGCTCGAGAAGATCCAGGCGCCGCTGCTCGATGAGGACGCGATAGCGATGTAGCTCCTGCTGCCGTTGCCGGAAGTTGGGAAAATGTGGACCAGTGCTTCCTCTGCTGATGCTGGTAGACTTCTTGCTCTTCGACGCTGTGGTTGAGACTTCATCCGTACTGGTGGAAACCTGGCTCTTCGTAGAGCGGCGCTTGATCTGGGATGTCTTCCTACGCGACGCTTCCGTAAACGAGGAGCTGGTGGGTGCCGACATATTAACACTGATCAGTCCGCTTTCCATGCTTTGGTGCTCTGAAGGATTGGTGCCTTTATCAAGCATGAGGCTGTTTTTGGGGACTTCTAGCTCGGAATCAGAGTGCTTATTTATGAGTAGACCCTGGGCGAACTTCGGAGCCTCCTCTCGCACCACACACAACTGCTGCGGCGGCAGGCTAAAGGACTCGAGTTTTAGATCCGAGACCAGGCTGGGTTGCTCCTCCGCCGCAGCCTCCCTTTTCCTGAGGCCATGTTGCCGCTTTTTTATTTCGTTAAAGAATCGATGCCAGTGGGTAATAGCTCGCTCCTTAGAAGTAAGCTCCTTAAGCTCTGACAGCGCTGCATCTGAGGACGATTTTTTTTCAGCAACCGTCTGGCTGCTGGCCTCCTCCTTTGAGAGACTGTGCTCCCCGGGCACAGGGAAGAGGCCATGGGTTTCCCTCTTGTCCTCCTCGCTGAAGTTCCACATGATGTGACGACTGTTGTTGGATGAGGCCTTACCCAAGTGTTCATCTTAAATTTAAGGATTTTACGCATATATTCAGATATTTTCATAGAATAAGCCTTACCCGATTTCTTGTTGCTGTCCATTGAGTTGTTAAAATGTGTTTTAAAAGGATCAACCTTCCGGGCTGGACGGCAGCAGTTCTAGCTTCGAATTTTGGGGACAAACACGAATGTAAAAGATGTGTGAGATGTGTGTGTCTGGAATATTTTGAAAAACTATTGCTGTTTTGTTCTGAAATTAATTGTAGTAAAAAGCCAAGTCTACTAAGAAAATAAAACTAATGGTTTTGTTTTGAAGTTTTAAAGATTGTAGGAATTATTATTTTGCTACTATTGCTATTCTGTGGGGTTTTAACGATTTGAAGTTGTTTTATAATAAAATTTTAAATAATTTACAGTTTTAAATTAGGTGTTAACTTGTTTTTTTATTATTTAACAACTTTTCTTTAATTTACAAAATAAAATGCACCATGTTCGTGGTGCAATCAAAATGCCAGCGATCGAGCGCCCGTCGAACGTTAAGGGACTAAAACCTGATCGCTGCGGCAGCCGACGAGACTATATTGTATGTATTTGTATATCATGGCTTGGCCGAACCGAAGAATTCGGATTGGATTTTGTTTCCAGCTCTAATTTGCAATTACATGTGGCGGTGTTCGGATGTGTCTGCGGATGAGCGATCGGCGCCAAACAAAAACGTAAACGCGCGTGAATCAGTTATCAGGTGGAATAACCGCGATCCGAGTAGATTCGTGCTTCGCGGTTTCAGTGCTCATCATCGAAATAAATCGAAAAACGAACGAATATTACAAAAAAAATCAGTCAAGGGCGGTAACACCCGGCGCAGCCCCAAACTCCGTGGGCAAGGTCAGCTCACTTTAATTAACCAACCCACCTTTAGCTGCGATTTTAACCCATATCCGTGAGAGTTCTTTAAATTCATAAATACAAAAAATTAATTAAAACAAAAAAAGAGTGTGAATGTGCAGGCGCCGCAGTCTCATGTTCCAATTGGAACGATCTTTCGTGCCAAATTGGGAGCTCATTCCGCATACGTAGCTACGTACATCCATTTGTATGTACATATGTATGTACATACATACATATATGTTTGGGCCAATTTCTCGCCAACAGAGAAGATGTGGGCTTAAAGTGCACCACCGAAAAAAAAAGTGAGGGAAACACAGAAATAACAGAAACACGGCCAAAGAAAAGGTTAATAATTCGTGCCAATAATATTGCTCTCGAAATTTTGCTCGCATCTCTTGTGTTTGGAAGTGTGTTTCGAGATCAGGAGCTTGTGAACAAACTCCCGGGTTTTTGGGGTATTGAGGCTTTAATCAGGGGTTTGTAGCTTTACTAAAATATGCAAAAAAGTACTAGATTTTTATAAATTTAAATTTAAAACAAGCAAGGAATAGCTTGGATGTTATTGAAAAAAGTGATAGGTTATTCTGAAAGTCGTTTTTTTTTTGTTTAAAATCTTGGTTTCATGCATTATGTTATAAGGACCTCTTTAAGCAATTATTCAAGAACATTAATATGTATGAGGTTTTTATAAAAAATATGCAAAATAATTCTTACAAATATCTGGATTCCTTAAATATTCTTTTAAACTTTAAAGACTCCTTTAACTGAAAATAAATTCCAATAAATTTCTCCCAAGGAAAATAAAGTTCTAAAACCTAATAAGCCCAGAACTATAAAACTTATATTCTAGTTTTCAGGAATTTATCTTTATTGTTATTATCTGAAAAGTTAAATTTAAGCCTTGGTTTGGTCTTGGCCTAGGAGTGCTCTATATTTATCACCAATTTTCCCCTGCAAGGGTATCTTTTCTTCGACCTTTCAATGCTCCCTTTTTTGACTCATTTATTTATTTATTTTTTTGCTTCTTTTGAAGGGGTTAATAGGGGGAGTGGAAGTGGGCGATGGATGGGACACTGGCTCGAAAACGGAATCGGAATCGCACTCGGACACTCAGACTGCGCGCCGACGACCCATATTTCGATTTCATTTCATTTACGAAAATAAAAATAAAAGCAAAAAACAAAACAAAAAATGAAAAAATAAAAACAAAACCAAAGAGGCTCGCAGACAAATCGGAAAAAAATCAGAAATAAAAATAAAACAAATTATAAAAAGAAGAGAAAAATCTGAAAAAGCAGCTTTGGCCGACGAGACCGAACGCCGCGACTCTTAAGTGCGGGCAAATAAGTAAAAGATATGCCATAAAAAGACAGCATAAGTGTATTTTGAAGATACTTCTGCACTTCGTGTTTTGTTTTTATTTTTATTGGTGTTGCTGCTGCTGCTGCTGCTGCTGCTGTGGCTATTGCCATTGGTATTGTTATTGTTATTGTTGGTGTTGACTGCTGCCGTCGGTTAATGTTAACTTGTTTAGTGTGGGCCGCCGCTGTTGGTAGTTTTGCCTGTTGGCCATTGGCTTTGTTGTTTTCTTATTATATTGTTACTGGCCATAACGGTAAAGGACCCTTGGTATATTCATATGTAAATGCCCCGTCCGCCACTCAATTGAATTGTGTAAAGATGCCTTTTACCAAACTCCAGGTCCAACGCCAGCTCCAACTCCAACTACAGCTCCATCTCCATTCCACGAAGAGCGATCTGCAGCTGCACCTTTATCGCTTCAACTCGATCTAGGAGCCGCGAATGGGACAATCCCGAGACGTCTCGCGGATATTTTTAACTCTGGCGCGACTTAATTCCTGCTGCATTTGCAGTGGCCGCAGCTTATTTAATGTCTACAAATAATCCAAATTGGGGCTTAGCCGAAGATGCGAATGCGAAATGGAGGGGCGGATGGGGGGGGGGGCGCCACGACAGGCGGGCACTTGTGCCTTCGATCATCGGTGCAGCGAGCCAAGAGCAATCCCCGGCAATCTCGGCCTAGAGGCCGTGTTCTCCGCACTGAAACCAATAGTAATTTAACATTTTGACGCTGTAAAAGAAACATTTGTCAATGCTAAAAGTCCTACAACGATGAAAGATTAATCTCTTATTCTCTTTTTAACAAGGCTGAGGTTAAGGCTAACAAAAATTAAGTTTCTTGGTTGGATAAATTTTAATTATGCGTTAAAGACTCTTTCAATTTATTGCTTTATTATATTATTATCTATAATAGGTAGGAAAATATTTAGCGATTCATAAAATGTTCGCTGCAGTTTCCACTTAAAATAAGATACGGATATTAATACTTTATAAGAGTCTTAAAAATTTTCACAGCGTTGAAAACTAAGGTTGTAAAAAATCGTAAATAGATATACATTTCTTTTAGAAAATTTCTAAGCAATATAAATTCGGTATGCAGTTTCTTACCCAATAAACTTACACAGAAAAGCTTTCCGAACTGAAATTAATGAATTTTGGCTTAGTTATAATCGATCTTCAACTCAGTCCTATCATCCAACTGCTAACCGTAAGGATATTAAAACTTCGGCTTCCCGAGTTAGCTTTTTTGCAGTGTATTCCTCACTATACCCAGATTGCGTTTGCCAAAGTTCGACAGGCAACGGTGAATGGCAGGAGGAGGGTGCCTAGAGCTGGGATCTGGGAGCAGGAGGACAGCGTAGGATGCCGCGGGGGATGCGTTGGTAAATTGGGGAATGGAGTGCCATTTGCTCAGTGGGACAAGTTGTGGCCAAATAATGACTATATTAAATAACAGTTAGCAAACATTATTGCATTGGCCAAAGGCTGTGTATAGCATAGATCTGGCCAAAAGGCACTGGAGAGTCACTGGCATGGAGACACGGGCACCAATCGCTAGTGAAGATGCAGCCAGTCCTCGGCTGGCTGGCTGCCATTTGAACGCTGTTGGAAATGGCAGTAATGTGACCATTTAAGACCTCTTTCTGATGTCTTATGGAGTGAAAACGTCCTGCTGTGTGAAAACAAATTATAGGCATGTAATGTTGCATGTTACGTCGCGACTCTCGAGCATCAATGGGGCGCGGAGGAGACGGCCCGGAGATCTGGAGGTGATCTGGGGAGGAGGACAGGACAGGCAATGGCTGGGAGCCGGGGCCAGCTCCAGGTCTGCGGCTAAGCCCAGTCAGTGCCGCAACACTCAAAAGTCAGTCCCGGTCGGGCCAGTTGGGGATTTTGACTTGACGCTGGCTTTATGCTGATGCTGAGGCTGAGACTCAAGCTAAAGCCGAGACCAAAGCTGGGACTCTGGCTCAAACTGAGCCAGACTCTTTGGATGTGTTTCTCTGTTTGTCTGTTTGCTCGCCGGCTCGTTTGGGAGTGTGTGCTGGGCCGGTCTAATGCTCTCTAACTGCTTATCAGATTTGCGGGGATTGCGCAAAAACGATTTCTGTTTTTCCTATCCCATCCACCTCCTGTCCTCCTCCAGCTCCTCCAGTTGCTTCGTTTTCTTCTAAGACCACTTTATACCCTATTTCAGGGTTCATTAAGTGTGTGAGAATGGCTTGAATTTCCAAAGATTTATTTTATCGGAAGTATATAAAAACCTTAACAAATTGTCATTAAATTTAACCTATATATAAAACGGGTTTTTCGGTATCTTTAATCTATTTGTTAGATACTCACAATCAGTAAATCTTAAGGAGAACTTCTGTTATCTTCGACTGCTTACTTGATGACAGCATCTTTTATATTCCAACTAACCCCATTCCTCAAGCTCATGTTGGATAAGCCAATAAAGTATCAAATAACCCATAATCAGGTGTTGCTTAAATTAGTATGTGAAATATGCAAACATATTTGTTTATTCGGTGAGAAAATTAATTGATTTACACTTTTGGCAATAAGATAAGAAAATTTCCATTCAATAGAGTAGAGTTTTTGGTGACATAATTTCTAGCTTATGAGTTTTAAATTGGATAAGAAAAAGGAATGATAGTATAAGTTTTTATTGTTTTAGGTGATGTTAAAGCTTGGAATCCTATAAATTCGATAATTCAAGTTTTATAATGTAACTACCTAATGTAAATTTTATAGGTAATTCCTAGACCACCTTCAAGTCATATTCTTAGGCTTAAGCTTAATTCAAGCTTCATTTAAGGTGTCAAAGATTGTTTTATTACAAAGAGTATTTATTGTTTCGTGTTACCTGTGCTAACCTTTATCGTCTGTAGTAATAGTAATATACTTATTTCTTGTTTTCTTTCCGTCTGTCTATTTTGGATTTTCAAACAACGAATGCGATTGCGACGCCGCATTTAAACGAGCAATGCAAGTCCGCTGCTCGCTGGCTGCTGCCTGCTGCCTGTTGTTGGTGGCATTTGC